ATAACACTGAAAACAATTTTTGCAAAAAAAATAGATCATTGTCCCTCATTCTTAATGTTTAAAAAAGTACACATTTAATCAAATAAACTAAAGCTTGTATATAAACGTTTGAATGAAAGGTTTTTAATACACAAAGGTTGGACTATCCAAGATTGAGGTATTTCATATTCTTTTTTTCCTATTGTTTAAAAAGAAAATATTGAAGCACTTAAAAATTGTGTCAAATGTTTTATTTTGATAGCTTTCTAAACAAATGTTTCAATTTGATTTCATTTTTATTTGACAGATGATAAACACGAAAGTGTAAGTATTTTGTAAAAGCAGCGTACTATAGTGTTGTTTTCAATGTAAAAGGATGATTAAGGCACAGAAATAGTATAACATTTTGATTTTACTAAGAAAAATCATATACTGACTGACTTAATATTATTTATTTAATTTAAAAAAAAATGGCAATTTATCTTTCATTACACAGAAGATTTAAAGTTAATTAACATTTCATGAAATGTTAGATGTTTGCTTTAAACACATTTAGCTTAACCATTATGATTAACTTTTCATGATAGATATTAATAGATTATTATAAGTTAATTGGACATATCCTTTGAAAGAATAATAAAGAGATTTTTATTGAGTTGTAGTAGAGAAGGTCAACGTATTAACATTAAGATTCAGCTACACTTATACCTTACAATATAATAAAATTGGTCAATGTAACATGTGTGCTTAAATATAGTTTATAATATTATATGTAATGTTTTTATATTAAACTTTTAAAATTTTAATTATTTTCTTTAAAATGTTTTTATCACCTTAAAAAATGTAAACAACAATCCCCATATTCCAACAGCACAGTTAAGGAATATTTTGATTTTGAAACCCCCTCCAAAATTAACGATAAACCCCCTTTTCAATATAGAAAAAAGCAAATTACTCACTAAAAATTCTATAAGCGTAGCCTAAAAAGTTTTGAGTTTAATCCCCCCTTCCAGTTGGGGTTTGAAGCTAAAAAGTACCTCTTTAATATAAAAAAAGAGCAAATTACACACTATGAAATCTATGAGCGTAGCCAAAGGGGTTTTGAGTTTAAAATTTCCCTACGAGTGTTTAGAGTTGAAAACCTCTTTCTTTAATATTATTTTAAAGCAAACTACAGTCAGTCTACAAATTCAATGATCGTAGTTAAATAGGTTTTGAACTTAAAAAAAACAAAACCCCTCAAAAGATGATTTGACGAAAAAACTTTTCTTTTTTTATATAAAATCTAAGGCGAAATACAGGCATGTAATTCCATGAGCGTAGTCAAAAAAATTTTCAAATTTCTACCAGTGGCTTGGGCTCTATTAATAAAGTGTGAATAGACTTCTGTCGAAATTGAAAAACACTAAATGTGGCACAACAAAGATGGTTAAGACAGATTTTAGGAGTCAGTTATAGAGATCGGGTGTAAATCAAAGATATTCATAAGTCGATCCCTTAGTAAGGTTGTGACAGAGCGTCGCATGTGGTTTTGTGGGACATTTTCTTCGACAAAATAAATTACGCAAAATAAGAGTTGCGGAAACAGCTTGCCGGAAAATGCGTTAAACGGCGCGATACGGTCTATTTCATTAAGAATATCACATTAGGTTTTTGAAATACACATTTTAATAGCAAGATAATACACTGTAGATACCTCAGAATATGCATTTTGTTGGCTTTCAATTCCTGAAATAGTGCTCGGCGGCGGGGCTTCGCCCCGCGCTAGGAGAGCGATACGAACTCCCCCAGACCCCCTTGTTAGCAAGGGCGGGGAGTCTACAAGTTTTTTCACTAATTCCATAAAAAATCTATTCTAGGGCACAATTAACGTCTCCCGAAAGTGTCAGAATGTAATAAAGATTAATTATGTACACCCATATATCCCCTGCAACCCCTCCCCCCTGAAAAAAAATCCTGGCTACGCCCATGACAGAGTCAGTAAGGGATTATTTATTATCTCTAAATATCTCACTAACAGTAAATGTTTTGATAGGAATTAATTATGTGTCATGTAGCAAAGGAAATGGTGAGCATAGCGAGCGCCTATAGCAAACTACTTTATTCCACCTTTTCCATGAACATCACATAGAACTAGAAACGTATAAATTAAACGCATTTTAAAATAAAATTAACATAGGCTATCAACTAATTCAACGAATAAAGTTAGGAACTGATTTTGCTATTTCTCATAAAAGAGCTAATGTCAAAATAATTTATTTATGTAGATACTGCTTTAACCAATAGAATATTGAAATAAAGGAGGCCTTTTATCGGGACCAATTAAAATACACGCTAAAGATGTATCTTTAAATTTAAACAAAAATAATGGACAATTTGATTCATAAGATTTTTTATAAGTGCAATATCTCACACCGATACCCATATCCAGTTGCGACATACATACTTTTTCACATCTTATGCAGACAAAGCCTTTGTCCACCAGGAGTATATTTAAGTTCACTTTTCGTCTTCTGAGTCTGTCCTCTACAAGGGCCTTAAATGTGTGCCGTGCAGCCTATGCCGTTACTCCTAAAATGTGGTTTTAGTCTGTACAATCCAAATTTTACTAACTCAGATTTCTAACAGTACTTTCCAAAACCTAGATAATTTCATTTCATAGTTCATTAAAAAACTGTAGACAACACTAGAATGTTGATACTGCCCTGATGTCAGATCACACTAGAATGTTGATTCTGCCCTGATGTTAGATCACACTAGAATGTTGATACTGCCCTGATGTCAGATCATACTAGAATGTTGATACTGCCCTGATGTCAGATCATACTAGAATACTGATACTACTCTGATGTCAGATCACACTAGAATGTTGACACTGCCCTGATGTCAGATCACACTAGAATGTTAATACTGCCCTGATGTCAGATCACACTAGAATGTTAATACTGCCCTGATGTCAGATCACACTAAAATGTTGACACTGCCCTAATGTCAGATCACACTAGAATGTTTACACTGCTCTGATGTCAGATCACACTAGAATGTTGACACTGCCCTGATGTTAGATCATACTTGAATGTTGATACTGCCTTGATTTTAGATTATACTAGAATGTTGATACTTTCCTGATGTCAGATCATACTTGAATGTTGATACTGCTCTGATGTCAGATCACGCTAGAATGTTGACACTGCCTTGATGTCAGATCATACTTGAATGTTTATACTACCCTGATATCAGATCACGCTAGAATGTTGACACTGCCCTGATGTCAGATCATACTTGAATGTTTATACTACCCTGATATCAGATCACACTAGAATGTTGATACTGCCCTAATGTTACATTACTTACCTAGTGTTCAATTAGTAACTAAGAAACAAAAAGCCTTGTTTTAATAATAAGTTTTAATAATTAATTAATGTTCGAATATAGTTGTGATATTGTAACTAAAAAAAGAACAAATCTTTTTTTTATTTTAAAAATATATGTTCATTTTTCTCTAATTCAATAACGTTTCTCAACATGCTTTCGCGCGCCTTTCCCTCCTTATCAAACCCATAAGCCCGGAAGAGTCGGTATCAAGCCATTGTTTTTTTCAATTTAACCAATTTTTATTTATCAACCATGTCTGTTTCTCAGATTAAAAGATTGTACACCTTATTTCTCCAACACCCAAACTGGGATCAAGTATAAATTCTACACAATTATTTTTTGTACCTGACAAAACAAGCATCACTTTAAACAATATAAACGAATAAATATAAGAAATAACCAATTAAATAATTGACCATTGTTATATTTATTTAGTTTTGTCTCTAAGAAATAAAAGAATTTGAAATTCACAGACTTGAAGGCATAAGCTGAATCAGTCTCCCTGTATAGTATGTTATCAAAAGTAGGCCGTTGCTTAAATAATTAAAGCTAATAATACATGTCTATAAAACATTCCACTTTCATAATTACTTCATTAGCACATTGGCTAATTTTCTTATTTCAGGAGGCTTGATTCCTCGAGATAAAATTTAAGTCGTACAATTGGTACAACTATTTCTAATCACGCAGTTAGTCTATATCAGTGATGTGTAAACCACAGCTCCTGAAAAGGCATAGTTCAAGCCGCAACATGTTTTGTAATAATGATTAAACATAACAAGTTTTTATTATCATTCAAATTATATTGAAAATGTCTATTTCTATAATTTGCTCAAATTTGTTGTTTATTAGTTTTATGAGTAGCCTTAACTAAATGTTGATGTCAAATGTCCACCTGTGCTGGTACACGAACCCATGTATACCGTGTGCCACAGAAACAGGGAACCTTAATATCATCTATCAAATATATTGCTAAATTACTTTTTTTGTTTTTTTTTTATTAATTTCAAACATGATAATTGTAACTATTAAATACCTAATGAAATAAAATAAAGTGAAAAAAAAACAACAACAACAACAAACTGAGAGATGATTCTATTTTTGTTTCTTAAGATGAATGTATGTGGAATAACTTCTCAATTAATTTAATTCTAATTTGCAATAAATTCGAATTCTGGTCGTTCTTCCCTCTCCCACTCTTTTGTTTCAGTAAATGCTTTAAAAACCAATTCCAGTAACATACGCCAAGATAAGCCTTTTTTTTTCTCCTCCCCCCACCACCCTATTCCTAACTGGTCTAGATAAGTGATATGATCATAGCGTATTATTAAAACATGAAAGAAAGCTAGGCAAAACCAATTAGTAAAAATATTGTTAATCAAACAGTTTTAATGGTGAAGGTCTAGATATAATAACATTTAATTACAAAGATGATCCAAACTAATCGATACAATTATACTTCGTATAAGCTTTGTTGTTATTTAAAAGTTTTTTTTAGCGGACCCCGGAAAAAGAAATAAGCTGCTATTAATGTTGTGCGAAATGTCTGTCCGTTCGTCCATCTGCCCCGTTTACATCTCTTAAACTAGAAAAAAGTTATTACAAATCGAACAGCATATTTTTAGTCCTTTCAAAGTTAAATTGCAACAGCTACCTTTTTCTTTTCTGAAAGCGAAAAAAATATTGAAAAAAATATGAAAAAAAATATGAAAAAAAAAATATGAAAGCAGTTAATTTTCTTCACATCATTTTACAATTATTCACTACTAATAGCAAAAGGAGATCATTTAGTACAGGTGTTCACTATTTACCATTTTTTCACCCATTATGCAAACTGTATTAGATACTTAGCCAAATAGTAATTTTTAAAAAAGGACTGCTTAATTAAGTCATTTTGTCATATTAACTACTAAATTAACAACAAAAATACTTTAAAAAAAATATATTTTTACTAGGCATTTTAAGTGAATATAAATCAAAACCAAAATCAATAAGTAGTGTTACATATTATACAATGGGTGTATTGGCTGAATAAATAGACAGATTGCTTTCAAACCTTGCTACAGTAACAACTTGTCAACATGGTTTCATGTTACAACAAACGCTGATCGACTGACGTTACAATACTGTCAACATCGGCAATTATAGACTTAGACCTCAACTGATCCCCACCTGGCACCAACTATTGTGTAATGGTCACTGACACTCAATGCCATCAATAATACCCAATCTGACAATAACACTCAAGACTGTAATTGATACTTCTGAGAAGATATGGGACACCAACTTTGGCAAAGAATCGTGTTCAATACATACAACTCCAACACTGTACCCTATAAACAAAATAAACACAAAACTCAACTTCTACTTTAAAGCAAGATTTAGTGACAACCTCATACAACATATAATAAGAGATATCACAAAACAAGTAACTCACCCTAAACAGGGGTCCAAAAATAATAGTAAATATAAAGTCCAAAGAAATATTACTTGTTTAAACAGACTAATCTTTTAGGGACCTACACACCGTCCGTTTCAACAAACTTTATAGGGTGAACTGCCTCAGGACAAAAAATGACCAATAAATGTAACCGGACTTTGTGACGTAGCAAACAGTTTAAAAAAAACAAAAAACAAGGCGCTCTCGACACGTACAAGGATAATGGGAAGAGGAAAAACGAATTCAACAGAGTTGGGAAAAAGCAAAAGACGATTGCCCGAACTAATCGTGACATGGGGCACCACACACAATCTTTCAACCATCATTCTCCATGTCTATCTGTACTTTGCCTTTGATATAATTTCATTTACTGACTGGCCTGTACATTCTTCAATATTGTCTTTTCATCTTCTTTTCTTCTTTCCTCTTTATCTTCTTCCTGGTACTGTTCCCTGAAGGAAGGTCTTTGCGAGCCCTGAGAACCTTATTGTGTGGTTAAGTTTTATTGACAGTGCTTAGCAAGTCATCGTGGAGTCCGATTGCTGCATTCATCCTGCTTATATTCTCTTCATTCTTGAACCCTTAACTCCAAGTTCAGAAGTCAATCGCTCAGCCACAACGCCTCCAAAAAGAACAGGGGTGCTCACTATTATTTGCCTTTATTAAAATGAAGAAATATTGCTACAAAATAGATATTTTAGTATTAATTTTCTTCTCTCAGGCTGCATAGAGAAGGATGAAGAGTTCCATCAACAGAAAGGAGTCTGTTGAAAGTTTTTAAGGCATCAGTGGCACAACTTGTTTTCCTTCTCATGTCAATTTTTTAAACAGATTTTCGCCAGGTTTTTATATAAAAACACAAAATAAGGCCAGGAGCTTGTTTATTGATTTTTTTTGTAGTTACAAAAAGTCACAAAAAAGTCTAGAAAGACATCAAAAAGGACAATAGCAATTTCCCTCTTTCTTTGTAAGTAAAAGCATCAGACAGGAGAAAATGTATCATATGGGCCGACTCCAAATCTGCATTGAAAGCTTTGAGGCGGATGAAGACTAACATTTAATTGGTACATATGAGCCCGAAGCTGTTGGACCAAATAACAGCTGACCAAATAGATGTCACCTTCATCTGGATCCCTTCTTATGTGGACATAAAGGGAATCGAAACTTCAGACAGAGAAGCAAAGAGAGTTCTACATCAAGTGGTGTCAGGAACCCAAATTCCCTGCACGGACCTGCGACAGAGCATTGCCTCAAGAGTGGCAGGATCGGTGGGAGGCTGAAACCAACAACAATCTCAGACAGATTGTGACTGATGTCAGGTGGCGGCCCACATCTAAGGTCTGACAAGGAGTAGAAGCACGACCATTACCAGACTTAGGATAGGCCACAGCTACATCAAGCACTTTTTTCTGACTCGTCTAACCGATAACATATCCTTATTGATTGTCCCAGATACAAGGATATTAGAAGAAAATTTTTTAGAGCGTAAAACATAAAAACACTGTTCGATAACTTCGACCCTGGGAAAATACTGGGTTTTGTCCGGGAGGTGGGGTTGTCTACGAAGATTTGACTTATAAAAGTGTCAACATAACCCTAACACCTAACCCTAAACCTAACCTTTAAACCACATGGCCTAAAGTGCGCCGATGTGCCTATTTAGCTCAAAACTCAGACTCAAACTCAGAGAGAGTGAGAGATAAATATTTCATAAATACATGTTTATGATAATGATTTTGTTGCGGTTGGTGTGCCACAGCCACTGTTGGTGGAATTGGAGGACTAGTTTTTCTTTTTAATTCAGTGGAGAAGATTACCCTCTAAACCCACCTTTGCTACGCTCTTGGAATTTCGGGGCTATTGTTTTGCTATAATTTAAAAAATCTAAAGCAAAGCTACGGTCACCGAAGAACGGTTGATTTTTATTTTTTTATTTAATTTTCCATTTTAGCGGAATTCTTTACTAATGACTGGCAACGTTTTACTCTCAAATGCAACAACATGTCAATAATTAAAAAAAAAATACATCTACAGTCAGAAGAGGAAAGAGTGTCATCTTACTATTTCTTCAAATCTAGCCATGATGTGGCGCTATGTTTATTTTTATTCGATTTGCAACCTGACCTCCACAATTTGCAAAAAAACGCATGCTATATCAAACCTTTGTATTTTTTTTGTTCAGTATTTCACAAAAAGGCCGAAGTATAATTAGAAAGCATAAATAGACATATGTCACAAATTATGTATTTTTAAAGCATTAGTCTTTCGTTTTCCTAAGAATTCTTTTTTGCGACCCCCGAAAGGGGAAAAGACGCTATTTGTTTCGTGCGACATGTCTGTTCGTCTGTCCGTCCGTCCCGTTTAGATCTAGAAATTAGAAAAGATATTAAAAATCCGACATCACAATATTTTAGACCATTCAAAGTTCTGATGCAACGGCTACTTTTTTTTCTGAAAGCAAAAAATCCAATTTTTAAAATCAGTTATGCAAACAGTTTTTTAAAGAGAAAAGCTAATTAGTATGCATTAGAAGTAAGACCTAATTTAAAACGAATAGTAATGTTGTAAACTCTATCTTCCTCAATTTTTAATGTCGAGGAGATGTAGCAGATATCTGTCTTTTGCCAATTCGAATAAGAGATTGAGCCTTTTTAAAACAATGAAATCAATTATAAGACATCAAATAGGCCAGGGGAGGTTAGAGGCTGAGAGGTAAAGCGCTTGGCTTCCAAACCGGTGAAGACTGTGATTTTTAACTTTAGAATCTTTGGGCGCCTCTGAGTCCACTCAGCTCTAAAGGGGAAAAGTAAAGGCGGTTGGTCGTTGTGCTGGCTACATTACACCCTCGTTAACCGTAGGCCACAAAAACAGATGAACTTTGCATAACCTGCCCTATAGACCACAAGGTTTAAAAGGGGAACTTTATATTCACTTTCACCTATCCTTTGATCTGCGGAACCGTTGGGGCACTACACAAGATCTGTTAACCTTCTTTCTCCATTCTTATCTCTTATTTGTCTTTGATATAACTTCATTTGAATGTTCTTTCTGAAAATATTAAAGCCTGCCTGGATAGACCACTTCGGAGGCAGATTTTGAGTTTGTGTTTCCACACAAACTGTCTTTTGTAACCTTGTTTTTTTAATGTTTTTCGTTATACCTGTACAAAATAGACTCAAAAACACTGCATCAATATTTTTTTTTATCTCTAGATCTAATGCAAAAAAAAAAAAAATAAACGTTTTGATGCGTTTTGGGGTACTACACTAAAGTGTTCAGTTTCTTTGCATGTTTTCTGTACACTTGTCCACGTTTCTGAGGCATGGAGCAATGTAGAGAAGATGACAGCTCGATAGATTCTTAGCTTTGTATTTGTGGTGATAAGTTCTTGACGTTTTTAGACAGTCTACCATAATATGCACTGGCCTTGGCGATACGCAGGTAGGTCGATTTCATTATTGATCTTTTCGTTTCTGGAGAGTGTGCTGCCAAGATATGTGAATCTGTCCATTCCTTCTATATCTTGTCCATTTATCTTGATGCTTAGATCCGAGTAGGCTTTCCCAGGAGCAGGTAAATATAGGACTTCAGTCTTTTTTGTGTTAATGGTAAGGCCAAACTCTGAGCATGCTCTTGAGAAGTCACTGACAATGCTTTGCGGATACTTTTCAGAGCAGCCATTTAGGTCACAGTCGTCAGCAAATAGCAAATCCTTGATTACTGCTGCTTTTTGTTTTTTATTTTTCTTTAAGTCGCCTCGGGTTGAATAGGCCACCATCAAATCAGTATGTTATCCTGTTGTTTTCTCTATTAGTTAGTTTGAAACTGAACCACTTCCACGTGACATGTCTAAGAAAAATACTGAATGCCAAACGGCAAGCAAAATACCACGTACTGAAGTCGAAGCGGGTCTGCAAAGCATCCACACAATCCTGATGCAGTTCCAGGTGCGAATGGCAGGACACGTCTGCAGAATGGAAGACCGCCGCATCTCTAAATGACTCTTGCATGGTCAACTATGCGAAAAAAAAAGCGCTCGCAAGGTGGTCAAAGAAAGCGCTTCATGGACACCTTTAAAGCTTCTCTGAAGACATTCAGCAAAGACCCAGCCACCTGGGAGACAGAGGCATCATGAGCTCGCTTTGAAAACTGTGGCAGGGGTTGCTGAGGAAAAGAGAACAACGCTGGCAGAAGAAAAACGCCAGAGAAGAAAAGCAAGGCAAATGACACTAGCTCCAGCTTGAATAACCTGCCCAGTGTTCAGACGAATATTCCGGGCTCACATAGGTCTCACCAGCCACACGAAGAGGCATAGAACCAGTGTGCTAAGCCTTTAGCCCCTTGGATTACAAATTGTTAATCAGCGAACCATGACGGACGAACTATACTAAAGTGTTAAGTTGTAAATTTTGCAGAAAGGTTTGTCTGACCTCTTAGTAAG